ATTTTGTTGCATATGGATTTCCAGTTTTCCCAGCACCATTTGTTGAAGATGCTATCCTTCCTCCATTGCATGCTTTTAGCCCCTTTATCTAATATAAGATAGTTGTAGTTTTGTGGATTGGTCTCTGTGTCCTCTATTCTGTACCATTGGTCCACCCGCCTGTTTTGGTACCAGTACCATGATGTTTTTGTTACTATTGCTCTGTAGTATAGTTTGAAATCTGGTGTTGCTATACCGCCTGATTCACACTTCCTGCTTAGAATTGCTTTTGCTATTCTGGGTCTTTTATTTTTTCATATGAATTTCATGATTGCTTTATCTATTTCTACAAGAAATGCCATTGGGATTTTGATTGGCATTGCATTAAACCTATAGAAAACACTTGACATTTTCAATTTGTCTTTCGTCATTCATTTTTTTTTGGTCCCCTCTAATAAGTCTTTGCCCACCCCAAACCACTAAAGTTTTGTTTTATGCTTTCTTTCAAAGGCTAAAAGTAAAGTTTAGCTCCTACATTTAGGGATTCTGATCCTTTTAGAGATAATTTTGTGAATGATGCACGGTAGAGTGGAAGTTGTTTTTCTTCTCTTCTTTCCCCTTCCTTTTCCCCCCAGCAGCATTTAATGAAAGGGTGATCCTTCTTCCCATTGAAGTGTTATTACACCTTTGTCAGAAATGAATTGACTGCATCCATGTCTATTTATGACTAGACTTCATTATTTAATGCCAATCTCTATGTCCATCTTTCTCTCAATTTCACACTATCTTGATTCGGGTGGCTTTGAGATGCCTTAAAAATCAGGTAAAGTTCCAACTTTGTTTTTCTTTTCCAAAATTATTTTGACTATGTCAGGCCTTTTTCATTTTTTATATAAATATTAGAATTAGATTCTCTTTTTTAAAAAGTCCTTCTGGCATTTTGATAGGAGTTGTCTTGAATCTGTGGATCAATTTTAGGAAAAATTCACTTCTTAATTATATTGAATCTGCCAAATCATGAACATTGTCTATCACTCCACTAAGACCTGTTCAGTTTTTTACATGCATTTTATGAAAGTTGTTACAAGTCTTTCATGACTTTTGATGCTACTATAATATTTTTGTATATAAGTATTCAATTGTTTATTGCTAATACATTCAAATGCCATCAGTGTTTACACATTGACTCTCTATCCTATGACCTTCCTAAATGCTCTTATTAGTTCTAATGGCATATTTATTGTATAGAATTTTTATGTTCTCTATGGATGAAGACAATTTTTCTGTTTGATTTCCAAACTGATTTTTTATTTTATTTTATTGCACTAGTTAGAACTTCCAGTGTGATGTAAATAGAAGCAGAGAGAGTGGGCAGCCTTGAATTCTTCCTTCTCTTAGGGGAAAAGCATTCAGTCTTTGAACATTAAGCATGCCATTTGCTGTCAGTATTTGTACAATTCTTTATCAGATTGAAGTCACTCCCTTCTGTTCCTCACGTTTAATTAGAAATGGAGAGGGAATTTTGTCAAATGCTTTTTTCAAGGACTTTTCTCTCCCATTTGACTTCAGGTCTTAGGATATTTTCTATGTATTTGAGGGCTTTCATAAATATCTATTGCATGAATGAAGCTGGACTAAATATCTCAGAGAGTAGAAGGCCACACTTTAGCTACCCAGGAGCATGAAACGGACGAGGGGGGCGTCAGTGTTGCAATGCCTGCTCCGAGCTGAGGTGCTAGATCTGTCCATATTATCTCATGCAATTTTCACAGGAGTTTTGAGAAAGAAGTATCTCCATTTTACAGAAAAAGAATGAGAGGGGGATGGGAATAGGGGAGACAGTAGCATGAATCGGACGTCACTTTTCTGTGTTTGTAAATGACTACACCACCAGAGAACTCCATGTCAGGCAGAACCCTAAGAATAGGATTCTAATTGAAATCAGTTTTACTCCTTGTATGTATAATATGTCAAAGTACACTCTGCTGTCATGGGTATCTCAAAAGAGCAAATAAAAAAAATGCCAACAAAAAAGAATGAGCAATAGGATGATTTAAAAACTAATACATGGTTGGAGAAGTCCTTTGTTTCACAACTCAATTATAAATAAGAGGGCAATTATTAAAGTCAGAAAAACGAAAAGATATACAAAGGGGGCTCCTTTCAAATATGATTGTATACACATCAAAATGTGAATCTTTGTCAACCTTGATAAAGCAAGAGTCCACCCAGGTCTGAGGGAAGTGGGAAGTTGGGAAAGGAATATGAAAACTTTAGGGATTTAGCATTCTTATTTTCCCATATGGGAACATTTATACCCCTTCGAGTCTCTGACCTAAAGAGGTTGTTGTGATGATTAATGAATATATGCGTGTAATCTGTAATAGGCACCCAAGGAACTGTAGCAGTGAGAAGTCAAGGGAGGTATCCCATAATAGCAAGAAATCAACCCATCTCCTCTGATGAGCTTTAGAATTGGTCCATATACCACCTCTGTCCAGAGATAGGAAGGAAGTCAGCCATAAAAGGGTAGAGAATGGGAGTCCAGCACAAGATGGGTGACAGGAGGGCCCTCTGAACGATGTCATCATCCCTGTTTTACAGTGGAGGGAACTCTGAGGGCCTGCCTAATTCACCTAAGCCAGGATTGAGACCAGGGATAGTGACCCTAGATTCCATTGCCTGCCCTGAGCCAAGTGACACAATGCAGCTGAAACCCTGGGCGAGCTCCTGGCGTATGCTTTGTACACATTTCTAATGAATAGGCCCCTTGGTTTAATTAAGGGGAAAAAAAAGAGATTAATTGATTCTCACAACAGCTGCAAATTATTTACATTGCATTTGTGTTGATGGCTAATAAAAGAGTAAAGGAGTGTGGGGACAGCCCAGGGTGGCTGTAATTCTTCCAGGGTTCATAATGAAGCACCAGTTTCCATGCCAAAATGCAAGAATGGATGAGCCTGCTGCCCCACGCACACCTGCAGCGGGCAGAGCTGCTCTCCGTCCTGGGCTTGATTCAAGAGACAGAAAGGGATCTCAGGAGCCAAGACCTGAGACTGGCTAGGCATATGTCCCTGCCCCACAGATTGCCTCCCAGTTAGTTTGTGATTGCTGGGGAAGGGATAAGGAAGAGGAAAATGGTGGTCCCTCCAATCCTGGGACAGCTGTTCAGTGGCCTTCTGAAGGATGTTGGGTTGAGAAGGCGCAGGGGACTCTGTGCAGAGCTGTTCTAAGTTATATAAGGTCTTGCTTTGCAAGTCATTGAAAAATTTATAATGAAATACATACAGTATGCGTATTGCACATATATCATAATACACGTGTGTGTGCATGGGTGTGTCTGGGATATCATAAAATTTGAAAAGAGATTTTGGTCTTCCCACTTAATAATTACTGACCACGTGGCCGTCCTGGGAAAGTCACACCTCAAGGCGTTAATTTCTTCATGGTCTTTACAGTGATCATGCTATGTATCAGGGTGCTCTGGGGAGTATTACTTTGAAACTGTGAAGAGGGGGTGAGAGTTGGCATTGGGATAACTGATTATCCTAGGTCTCCCTCTAACCTGTTATTTTGTTTTTAAATCATTTACTTTGCGCTTCTGTGAGGGTATGTGGGGACTGAATAAAGAGAGAAGAGTCTCAGTTGAGTTACCAGATGCAGGTTTTCAGAAGATCATTCCTAAGGCAAGTGTGGAGTGTGGACTAGGTGGACCTAGGATTTTCTACCATGAGACCACTCACAAGGCTACTGCAATGATCCAGATGGCATTTGACTCAGATGAAACATACCAAGGAGACAGAATAGACAGACATTGGATGTGCATCAGATAAGAGTCCGACATAGGCGTATTATACCAAATCCTGGCACAAGTCTAATTTCCATTCTCTATCCATCATTAGCAACTATTGACTATAAGCATATTATACTCATTTTCTAGGGTTCCATACAAAGTACCCCAAGCTGAGTATCTTAGAATAACAGAATTTATTGTCCTGCTCTTCTTCGGGCAGAAAGTCTAAAATCAAGGTGTTGCAGGACCACGCTCCCTGGGAAGGTGCTAGAGGAAGTTATAGTCCAGGCTCCTCTCCCAGCTCCCAGGAGGTCCCTGGCCTGTGACAGCATAGCTCCTGTTCTCCTGGCATTCCCCCTGTGTGGGTGTCTGTCTCTGCATCCAAATTTCCCCTTTTGATAAGGACATCAGTCATGTTGGATGAGGCCCTACCTAGGGCACTCATTTTAGCTTGACCATCTCTATGAAGACCTGTGTCCAAATATGGGTACTGGGATTAGGATGCTGATCTTTCTTTCTGGTAGACAAAATTCAACCTATAATGTTAGATATTTCAGTGTATTACTTATTCATCAGATAATACATCGTTTAGCTCATCAATTTATTGAAGAATGACTTAAATTGCTAGATAACTTAAGCCATTTAGATAGTCTTTAGATGGTCAGAAAATACTAAAATGTTTGTTGCATCATTACATACATATTGGTATATATATATATATATATATATATATATATATATACACATTATGTATACATGCATGTCAATAGCTCTTCAGGATGGGTCCAGTTAGGTTGACGTCAGAAATTCCAGCATACACAGCCACAACCTGTCAGTTTGTTGATTGATAATGGATTCTGAAACATCTATTAACAGACAGTGGGATTTGAAAATTTAAATTTTGTATCAATTCTTAATAATCTCTACACTGGGCATTGAGAAATCGAAACAATGGGATTTGATGCGTCAGAAGGCCCATAGTCTTAGAGATGAAAATGTTTGAGTCTTGGTACTGCTGTTTAGCTTAGAGGTAGCTGGGGTGAACTGTGAAGTCCTCTGTGCATGCTCTGAAGCTTCTCTGGGTATCCAGTGGTCTAACATGGTCCTCCTGGGGTTGTTGGATGGGAACCTGTAGTTGGGCAAATGTGCAATATGAATATTATTATGGGCTAATTGTTCACATGATGATCTTTTTGCTTTGTTCTGTTTTCCTCCATTTGTTCTCTAGTCAACAAACATAAGCCATGGATCGAGACCTCTTATCACGGAGTCATAACTGAGAACAATGACACAGTCATTTTGGATCCACCACTGGTAGCCCTGGATAAAGATGCACCAGTTCCTTTTGCAGGTAAGATGATGGTTTTGTATGTTGCACTTGACTTGCTTTGGAGATGTGTTGTGAAACCTCTGAGAAGCCAGGCTAAGGCCTTATAGCTATGGTCACCATGCTGTGTGTGTCCTAGATCTGCCCAAGGTGTCAATGCTGTGTGCCTCTTCTCACTTCTTGTATGAATTCTGTATCTCTTTGCAGTTCCCCCCATCATGTTGCCACCAAAGCAAAACGCTCTTTCTTCATAATGATAAGTTGCTGAAGTAGCCCCTGGAGTTGGAGTTAAACTAGTAATGTTGTTAAGAACACTTTTATCTTAATAACCCATAGACACAGTAAAATGTATGATGTGCTGTCACCACAACTCATGGATCAAGGATAAGTTGATAATTGTTGCTTATTACCCTGGCAAGAGAAAAAGATAAAGAAAAAAGGATCAGGAAATATTTGCTAAGGGTAGGACAAGGTCAGGCCCTTGAACTTAAATGTGTGTGTGGCTCTTGGAGGAGGAATCAGAAGGAAAAAAAATGTTTCCCTCTGTATCTTGTGGCTAGAGAGCTTTCCAACTATTATCAAGACTACTATGGCTCCCTTCTGACCTCCTGTAAGCATGGGGTCCCAGGACAGGTACGTGCAGGGTACCACTATTTCACATGTTTCTACAGATTTGGGCAAAGACAAGGGGATGGGTGATGGGTAGAAGGGATTAGACAAAGAATTTCTGAAGATCCCTGCATCGTGAGTAATACTGTTAACATTTTATAACTGTCAGAAGAAAGACAGGAAATTTAATGAAGGTATTCAAGACTTCCAGAAGATTGCTTTATGATGGATGGGTGCCAGGCAGAGGTTTTCACCATGATGAAGTCAATTTTTTCTGACAGTTTGTCTGCTTCACTATGAGCCACTTGGGCAAGAAAAAATGGGCTCTTTTGCACTTTTAAAAGATAAGTTTTGGGCAGGCCCCTTTTTCATTATGGAACATTATAAAGTAAGGAGGGGTGGGGTGGGTTCCAGTCAGCATTATGTGAAGACAAACCCAAAAGCATCCTTGAAGACAAAAGGGAGACACTCTGGACTCTCAGAGGCTCTATCTTACTTCCATGGGGGTTTAGAATCCGGGCACTTTCAAACCTCTTCCAGATGTCCTTCAACCAACCGCCTATGCAATCTTTTCCACTAAAGAGGAGGTTTCTTCCCAAAACCTTCTGGGCAGAGCCTCAGGATACTCCAACTCATCCTTTCTTGGAGATAACTAATAGATATTGGGATTAATCATCAATTCTTAGCAACCCTTGGAAAGGAGATTTTTAAACAAATATTATCCAAAATGTTTGGGTCATAGAAATGTCTGTGCATTTAAAAACTAGAGAAGACATTTAGAAATTGGGAGATTTAACATTAAAAAAAATGAGGATTCTGATTTATCTTGGTTAATTGGATCTGAAATACACAGCTGAGTTGTGGCTTCCTCCACACCATGTGCCCATTGCAGCAATGCCCCTGTCTCAGAGCTCCTATGCAGAGGCCTTTCAACCATTCAGCTCATTCAGCTTTTATCAAGTGTGTGACTCCTTGGAACATAACAGAGTAAACTAAAGGGAAGTAAACTGATGACATTAAGTCATTTCGGTGTAATGAGGCTAACGCTATAAAAGATGAGGGATGTGTCTGACTATTCATTATATCAACCCTTAATGCTCTCATCCAATACGGAGCAGGGAAGCTGAAGTCTACAGTAGTTATAAGCTCTCCGATGTTCAGACCAGAGTAGAGAAATAAATTTTTCAAGAAAATATGATATTTACAATCTTATGTTTACAAAAGATTATTTAACTTTCTGGGTTGTAGGGCTAAAGGACAATTAAGTTCTACCTGGAAGTTCACCAAAGGATTTGTTAAATCAGAAGCCCATCAAACATGAATTTGTATTCTGACCATTGGATGTGCCCACAGTTTTTCGGGTTCATCTTGAAACTAAGGTTCATTCCTAAGCCAAGCCCTGAGTAGTTATTTCCAACTAAAGACAATTTCTGTACTCCAGGTATTATTTGCAGCTACCCTAAAAAAAAAAATCTAGCTTAATGCATCAAAATGTAATCTCCTGAGTTCATAAGAGTAAAAAATAAAGGTGCTTTCTAGAATGGTCAAAGCTATTTTTCTCAATGTTATTTATGATAAGCTCCAAGACAGGACACAGGCACTAGCCATCCATCCATGCTGCAAGCATTTATTTTAAAACATTTATCTTAAAAAGAAAATACTGGAGATTTATTTCAGATCTCTATCATTCTCATAAAATTGAAAAATTCATATCTGTCGGCTCTATCACTCCTCCAAGTCAACAGAAGCTTTTAGTCTCCCCCCCAAAACCCCCCACCCTTATCAGCCGCTCATGCTTCGAGGGGCAGTTTTCTTCCCCTTTCCCTAGGGTCTTCATTTTCAATTTAGCCCACAAGGTGAGCCATAAGCTTTGTGGAAGACAGTAGCCTCTATCATTTTTGCTCTGTCTTGATTCTCTTATCCACTCCTCCTCTTTAAAAACTTATTTTTAGCAAAAAAAAAAAAAATTCTCACATATAGATTCTGCTGTAATATCATTTACAATCATCTGCAATCGCAAATGATTGTCATTTAAATAAAAGTTGTCATTGCATTGTGCACATAGTGCAAAATGCAGGGATATCAAATAGCCTTTATATTGCCTGCTCATGACATAATAAGCATTGAATACTGAAAATGTGAAAAATATAGTGAAACACACAAAAAAGCAAAGGCATTAACATTTCAGTGTATTTCCTTTCAGTCACTTTTCTAGTTTTTTAAAAATTATGATTCCCATCTCATAGTACATTAAAATTTCATATTAATATTCTATTAACATTATTTAGTTAAATAACACTAATAATACCATGTACCAAATGAAATGAAACAATTAAATCAATCAGTTTAATAATATTAATACTTGCCCTATTTTTCCCACTAAAATAAAGGGAATATATCATTTTATTAAATATTCTTCTGCAGCTATTTAAAATGGCTATGTGAGTTTTAACTTAATGAGTAATTCTAAGGCTTACCATCCTCTAGCTGATGGGAAATTTGTCTGCTTTCATTTCTTTGTTATGGCAACATGTGCCCACATCTCAGATTCTGTCATTTGGATAGATTTTTTTCATGATTGGAATGAATTGGCCAAGCGTTTTAAAGTTGCTGAAATGTGTTCAATTGCTCTCCTGAAAAGTGTGAGTCTTCGATCTTATTACACCCATATGAATCCTTGTTCCCTGAATCACATAGGAGTCATTTTGATGGTATGATTTAGGGATGGTACGGCAGAGTAGCCTCCCTGTCATTATCTGTCAAATAATACAGGCTTTCCAACATTGTTGGATGGAATTTAAAGCCTGTCTATGACAGGTGTTGCGATGATTCAAACGTGGAAATTTGACAACTTTGAGTTTCATTTTCCAGACCCTCCTCCCTGCTTATGTCACTGAGGAGACCCCTGAGTCAAACTGAGGCTGCCTAACTTGCCCAGTATCCCAGAGCAGACCAGCGTGGGCCGGAATGGATTCCCTGTCCCCTCGGATACTGCCTTTTGATCCCTGCCCCACCTGAACAGGAAAACCTCCCTCAAATTTCAGTCTCAATTCTCAGCCCAGAGTCTGAGCTCTATAGACTTGACCTTCTTAGAGAATCAGATACAGAAAAATCCTTGAGTAATAATGGAAATCCTGTCCACTGCATGGCAAAAAATGATAATGAAAGCCAAGCTGGGCACACCGTGAACTTATTAATTTCTACACGTGCCCCACTGAGGCCCGTTAGGATACTGTGGAGACTTTTAAATTTGAAGGGAATTAGATTGCCTTTCAGAGATAATAGAACTGCTCATTTGTCTACATTGGGCCGGTCTGGACTTGTCTTTTGTAAGGACAGGGCTGCAGAGAATGATCAGGCATAATTGGCTGGCTTCTCAGGCTGGGTGAGTCTCTGAAGGCTGCCCAGACAATTGCCTCGGACATGATTTGGCCTGGTTTGATTAGCTGGTTAGTGCTGGTTACAGTAGGAACGGCTCTTTCTTCCATAGTTAACTCTACTGTCTACCTGCCCTGCTCTCTTTGGGTGGGCCTACCTGGGGGCCTTGTTCCTACCTTAGACCCTACGGATGCCTAATAGCAGATACTCACCCAGGGTTCCAGGTAGCCATGATGTGTCATGGTGAGAGGGAAAGCCTGAGGTTTTAACTCTTTTTTAAAAATTTAATTTTGCTTTTTTATTAAGTTGACAGAAAATGTTATACATTTTTCTTATGTTCAATATGGTATTTTGAAGCATAGAGGCATATACTGTGGAATGGTTTAATCTAGCTAATTGGCAGATGCATTACCTCGCACAGTTATCGTTTCTGTATGTTTGCATGTAAGATCCACTCTCTTTACATTTTTTCCAAGAATGCAGTGCATCATGGTTAATGATCACCTTGCTGTCTAATAGAGCTCTTGAAATGTATTCCTCCTCGCTGACTGCCATTATATAGTCTCCTCCCTCGGCACCCTGGATTCTACCGCTGTGCCTCTGTACTTCTATAAGATCCACCTTTTTATATTCCACATGAGTGAGGTCATGTATCATTTGTCTTTCTGTGCTGGCTATTTTCACATACCAGACCCAGATTATTTTACACTTCTGCTCTGCCATCTCAGATAAGTCACCAAACTCCTCTAAGGAAGGAATTCAAAAATGGGAGGTAATCAGAGTACCTACTCCTGGGATTGATATGTGAATTAAATAAGATATTATTGCAAAGAGCCTAGAGTCCTCTCTGGCAGCCAGAAGATGCACAGTGACTCGCAGTTCTGATAGTCATAGCAATGGTAATAATGAGAATCATCAGAGCAATTGTGAGTCTTGTTATTATCAATAAGCCACAAATGTTTGCTTCATTTTCATTGTAATCAGTGGCACAATTATAATCTGTGATGATGATGCTAAAGAAAGGAGAAAAGTAATTT